GGTAAGCTGACCACTAGCTCCGGCCCCCCTGAGGAGCAGCGCAGGCTCAAGACGAAAGGCAGCTGAGCTGCCACATCTGTTTTGCGTTGCACCCATGGTCCCACCCCCTCATAATATTCATGTATATGTGTCCTGACAGCCCCAGCCCACTGGGCAAATGCCTGGTGTATCCTATGGCCAGTTTGGGCCTGTCCACAGGCCTTACTCTAATCAAATTACAGCTTACCACCTCATAGAATGTTAAAAGGTTGGTCTAGCAAGCATGGACCTTCATAAATATGTATTGGTTATTACTAATGACATTTTCATCAGGAAATTCTTGGATATGGTCCCTTATCATTCCTTCCACTGCTTCATTCAGTGTATCTGTGTTTCCTCCTTCTCTCCTGACGCTTCTTAAATAGTCATCTGGGGAGAGTTATGATATGAAGAAGCAAAGTCTTTGTCCTTTACCAGGATGGCAGCCTTCACACAGGGACAGTGTAGAAAAAGCCATGGTAATTCAACATTGGGGAAAATATCAGCTTTAGGGAGCCCACAGGCATTACTGATGACTACTTTTTGTCCTCTGTTTTCCTTTTTTCAGTACGGCTCTTATAGTTTAGATTCTCTTCAAGGGAATTAAATATTGGAGGCTGTCTTGATTTGTGACTGGACTGAAGCTACAGAATATGACTATTTACCATGAATAGCAGCTCTGTTGCATGACTACTATAAATATCAGCTCTGTTGTCCCTTTCTCATAGACCTCTCTGGAATTCCAAGCATTTTTTTTGTATAGTTACATTGGTTTAACTGGGACCAATGTAAGTATTCATATTCCTGGCCGATCCCTGCAGACTCTAAGAATGCCTGCAGTAGCCACCACTAGAGATGAGCGAATCGAAGTAGGCGAAGTGGAATTCATTTCGAAATATTGGAAAATTTTCGATTCGCGCTGAATCCGAAAAATAGCCTACTTCGGACGCGCGAATCGAAATTTTTCCTAAAATGGCGGCGGACATGTGCGGCGACGGAGCGAGGATGTCTGGGAAGGCGCGCAGACAAGGCGCGCTGACCCATAATGCATTCCTTAATGACATTGTGTATCGCATTAGCCAATCAGCAGCCAGCCAGCCAGCACTGTGTAATGGTCGAGCTATAAATGGGCGGCCATTTTAGAATTCTTCATTTGCCTCCAGTCATTCAAGAGAGGCAGACCCGCTCTGTATTAGGGACAGAGTTAGGGGCACAGAAACGTTACTTGGGGACAGAGAAACGTTACTTAGGGACAGAGAAACGTTACTTAGGGACAGAGAAACATTACTCAGGGACACAGAATTGTTAGTGAGGGCCACAGAATCGTTACTTAGGGCCACAGAAACGCTAGTTAGGGCCACAGAATTGTTACTCAGGGACAGACAGAATTGTTACTGAGGGCCACAGAATTGTTACTTAGGGCCACAGAAACGTTACCCAGGGCCACAGAATTGTTACTGAGGGCCACAGAACTGTTACTTATGGGGCCACAGAAACGTTAGTTAGGGCCACAGAATTGTTACTCAGGGACAGACACAGAATTGTTACTGAGGGCCACAGAATTGTTACTTAGGGCCACAGAAACGTTACTCAGGGGACACAGAATTGTTACTGATGAGGCCACAGAACTGTTACTTAGGGCCACAGAAACGTTAGTTAGGGCCACAGAATTGTTACTCAGGGGACAGACACAGAATTGTTACTGAGGGACACAGAATTGTTACTGAGGGCCACAGAACTGTTACTTAGGGCCACAGAATTGTTACTCAGGGACACAGAATTGTTACTGAGGGCCACAGAACCGTTACTTAGGGCCACAGAATTTGTTACTCAGGGACAGACACAGAATTGTTACTGAGGGCCACAGAATTGTTACTTAGGGCCCACAGAAACGTTACTCAGGGACACAGAATTGGTTACTGAGGGCCACAGAGAACTGTTACTTAGGGCCACAGAAACGTTAGTTAGGGCCACAGAATTGTTACTCAGGGACAGACACAGAATTGTTACTGAGGGACACAGAAATTGTTACTGAGGGCCACAGAACTGTTACTTAGGGCCACAGAATTGTTACTCAGGGACACAGAATTGTTACTGAGGGCCACAGAACCGTTACTTAGGGCCACAGAAAACGTTACTCAGGGACACAGAATTGTTACTGAGGGCCACAGAACCGTTACTTAGGGCCACAGAATTGTTACTCAGGGACAGACACAGAATTGTTACTGAGGGACACAGAATTGTTACTGAGGGCCACAGAACCGTTACTTAGGGCCACAGAATTGTTACTCAGGGACAGACACAGAATTGTTTACTCAGGGACACAGAATTGTTACTGAGGGCCACAGAACCGTTACTGAGGGCCACAGAAACGTTACTCAGGGACACAGAATTGTTACTGAGGGCCACAGAACCGTTACTTAGGGCCACAGAATTGTTAATCAGGGACAGACACAGAATTGTTACTCAGGGACACAGAATTGTTACTTGAGGGCCACAGAACCGTTACTTAGGGCCACAGAATTGTTACTCAGGGACACAGAATTGTTTTACTGAGGACCACAGAACCGTTACTTAGGGCCACAGAATTGTTACTCAGGGACAGGGACAGACACAGAATTGTTACTCAGGGGGACACAGAATTGTTACTGAGGGCCACAGAACCGTTACCTAGGGGCCACAGAAACGTTTACTCAGGGACAGACACAGAATTCTTACTCAGGGACAGACACAGAATTCTTACTCAGGGACACAGAATTGTTACTGAGGGACACAGAATTGTTACTGAGGGACACAGAATTGTTACTCAGGGACACAGAATTGTTACTGAGGGACACAGAATTTTTACTGAGGGACACAGAATTGTTATTGAGGGACACAGAATTGTTACTCAGGGACTGACACAGAATTGTTTACTCAGGGACAGACAGAATTGTTTACTGAGGGCCACAGAAATGTTACACTTAGGGCCAAACAGAAACGTTACTCAGGGACACAGAATTGTTACTCAGGGACAGACACAGAATTGTTACTCAGGGACAGACACAGAATTGTTACTGAGGGACACAGAATTGTTACTGAGGGACACAGAATTGTTACTGAGGGACACAGAATTGTTACTGTAGGGCCACAGAACCGTTACTTAGGGCCACAGAAACGTTACTCAGGGACACAGAATTGTTACTGAGGGCCACAGAACCGTTACTTAGGGCCACAGAATTGTTACTCAGGGACAGACACAGAATTGTTACTGAGGGACACAGAATTGTTACTGGAGGGACACAGAATTGTTACTGAGGGACACAGAATTTTTACTGAGGGACACAGAATTGTTACTGAGGGACAACAGAATTGTTACTCAGGGACAGACACAGAGAATTGTTACTCAGGGACAGACAGAATTGTTACTGAGGGCCACAGAAATGTTACTTTAGGGCCACAGAAAACGTTACTCAGGGACACAGAATTGTTTACTCAGGGACAGACACAGAATTGTTACTCAGGGACAGACACAGAATTGTTACTGAGGGACACATAATTGTTACTGAGGGCCACAGAAACTGTTACTTAGGGCCACAGAATTGTTACTCAGGGACACAGAATTGTTACTGAGGGCCACAGAACCGTTACTTAGTGCCACAGAAACGTTACTCAGGGACACAGAATTGTTACTGAGGGCCACAGAACCGTTACTTAAGGGCCACAGAATTGTTACTCAGGGACAGACACAGAATTGTTACTGAGGGACACAGAATTGTTACTGAGGGCCACAGAACCGTTACTTAGGGCCACAGAATTGTTACTCAGGGACAGACACAGAATTGTTACTCAGGACACAGAATTGTTACTGAGGGCCCCACAGAACCGTTACTTAGGGCCACAGAAACGTTACTCAGGGACAGACACAGAATTTCTTACTCAGGGACAGACACAGAATTTGTTACTCAAGGGACACAAAATTGTTACTGAGGGACACAGAATTGTTACTGAGGGACACAGAATTGTTACTCAGGGACACAGAATTGTTACTGAGGGACAAAGAATTGTTACTGAGGACACAGAATTTTTACTGAGGGACACAGAATATTGTTACTGAGGGACACAGAATTGTTTACTCAGGGACAGACACAGAATTGTTTACTCAGGGACAGACAGAATTGTTACTGAGGGCCACATAAATGTTACTTAGGGCCACAGAAACGTTACTCAGGGACACAGAATTGTTACTCAGGGACAGACACAGAATTGTTACTGAGGGACACAGAATTGTTACTGAGGGACACAGAATTGTTACTGAGTGGGCCACAGAACTGTTACTTAGGGCCACAGAAACGTTACTCAGGGACACAGAATTGTTACTCAGGGACACAGAATCGTTTAATTAAAGAGTATGTCAGACAACATGCAGAGGAGTGGCAGAGGAGGCAATGTTTTTAGGAGCGAGCAGACGTGGCAGCAGAGGAAGGGGTCGAGGCAGCACTATTCGCAGCCAGAGGCTAGTGCTCCCGGTGTCATCCAGTACAGTGAGGAAGAGCTAACAGAGGGCGGGTCAGGAACTGGGGGGGAGACATCCGCCTCTTCAGCAGCCAGGCGAAGAAGTAGTGGCGAGGAGAGTGGCTCGGTAGCCGGTCTAGAGACAGGGGTCTGTCTCCTGACCCACACGCAGCCGAAGGGGGCTAGTAGTGAGGCGGAGACCCTAATTGATGATGATGAGGCTGATCGCACTGGGCAGCCTCGTTTTTTCGTCATCAGGCTATTGCTTTCCGCATCATCAGGAGAAGAGGGTGGCAGCTTGGCAGCGAGCAAAACAGTCGGTGGGTTGTCTCCATCGCCCACACTCTGCCATGTGCCACTTTCAGGTCTCCTCACACACTGCTGGTGTGTTCCATTTTTTTGTCATAGGGTGCTGGCAGATTACGGGCCTCCCATAGCTGCCCTGCCAGGCCCCTAATCTGCCATGGGCCCCTATATATCCAGCCTCCTCATGCTGCTGCCAGGTGAGGTCCAGAGTCTTCATGGGTCCCCTGTACGGCCTCCCATTGCTGCTGTCTCCATCGCCACACTCTGCCATGTGCCACTGTCAGGTCTCCTCACACACTGCTGGTGTGTTGAAATTTTTTGAACATAGGGTGCTGGCAGATTACGGGCCCTCCCATAGCTGCTGCCAGAGGCCCCTAATCTGCCATGGGCCCCTATTAACCGCCTCCGTCATGCTGCTGCTGCCGGAGGTTCCAGGCGAACGTAGTCCCACACAGGGGAGGAACTTTCTCAGTGTAATGTCCGCACAGAGGCATCACGACAGATGGGCTGTCTCCTCCGCGCACAACTCTGAAAAATCGGAACCATGGTTGACGCGACACAACGGAAAGAACATGGTGTGACTGCTTCTGCGTCAAGTAAGGTTGTGCCATATGCGCCATGCATGGCTACACGTGTTTCAATCTGGTTGGTGCAAGCGGTTCCTAAAATCCGACCTATCCCACTGCAAGTACAATCCTTAAAATGTCACGTAAACTTTGCATGCATTTCAGCCCATTCCTACACCGTCAAAGCACCAAGGACCCATCCTTGAGCTGCAGCGGCATAACGGGAGAATCTCCACATGGCAATCGCCTATCTGCGACGTTGCAACAAGGTGGGAATTCAAAGCGCAACCCTACAACATGGTAGAAACCGCTCTTTTACGAATCAGCGAAAGCCCATCACCGAGTTCCCTGAATGTTACAAGCGGATATAGGGTACTTCCCCCTGGGGTAACTTTCGATGTCAGCCATTAGCAGCTCTCATGCGTGACAACAGGCCGCATTGCTCAGGCCCTTTGAGGAGGGCCAACGCTATTGCGTGAGTCCGGCAGGACTCTATGGGTCCCTGAACGACCGACGCACTTCCTGCTGGTGCAGCGTCCTGGAACAAATGCTGTTAACAATGGCTGGTCAGGGTGCGGTAGACGTGGCGCCACAGAATCTCAACTCCACTTGACCCCTGTGGGGGTCAGGAACAGGGAAGAAAGGAGGAGGTAGATGAGGACATTTTTAGGGCTCAGGAAATAATGAGTGCATGGGTGGGTTTTTCCACTCAGCGGGACAGGAGTGGAGGAGCAGGAGCACACTCCTTAGAAGGATGGAGGAGGAGGAGACAGAGGACCCAGATGCACCGTGGGCAGTATGCTGTGGTGAATGGAGGCAGCGAGTCTCCCTCGCATTCCTGGGCCAAATGGCCCATAGCATTCTCGGTCTTGCTGTGCGTAGCGACAGCCGTGAATAATAAACCATACAAGACAGAGGGTGCTGACTTTTGGCTGTCCACCGTTGTTGTGACCCTTCGCTACCGTAATCTAAAATGGTGGCCCCTTTTTCCAACTACCTGCTGAGAGAGGGAGGCCAAAAATAACAGATACTATAAAAATATCCACCTATGTAGTCAGTTGTCTCAGCTGCCTTTGTGCGCCAACCGTCCATCCTCACACACTGTAGGGCCCGGTGCCGCGCTCCGCGCGTTCCGCTGCCATGGCTGGCAAAGGTGAGGGTTGGAGTGGTCATAGGAGCAGTGGCAGCGCCCACCAGCAGCGGCTGCCTCAGTCCTGGCAGTCGATGGATGAAGTAAGCTTTCTTCACTAATTGCAGTGAGGAAACTACTAACCCGCACCGCAGCATCAACAGCAGCATCAGGTGGACCTGGAGCAGGACCCTCAAACACAACAGGTTTGGGGCTACAACTTTGGACCCACCCCCTGCCAACCGAGGTATGACAATCCCCTTGGACTACGGGCAACGAAACTGCTGGACCTTTGTGACCCAACTAGCTGAATTTGCCCCTTGTCAAAGGCCTGTGCATGTCGCAACCCCCCCCCCCCGGCCACTAGCGTGGCAGTCCGGGCGCGCGTGTTTTTTGCGGCAAAGAGATTATTGTAACTCCGCGGGTGGAAGGTGGAAGGACACGACTGTCCACCAAGCCAAAGTGTGGAGAGACTCACGTTTGTGAAAATGGGACTCAGGCGTGGATTAGTCTGGAGTTCAAACCACCAGTTCCTGAGCACAACTGTTCTCTAATATCCGGCAGCCCGCCATGAATCTGCCGCCAAACACATGTGCCACTTTTCAGGTCTCCTCACACACTGCTGAGTGTGTGTTCCATTTTTTTTGTCCATAGGGTGCTGCAGATTACGGGCCTCCCATTGCTGCTGCCAGGCCCCTAATCTGCCATGGGCCCCAGTTACCTACCGTACCGCCCCCTCCGCCGAGCCCCCCCCGCCGCCTCATGCTGCTAGACGGCCAGGTCCAGAGTCTCTCATGGGTCCCTGTACGGCCTCCCATTGCATTGCTGCTGTCTACCATCGCCACAACTCTGCCATGTGCCACTTTCAGGGGTCTCCTCACAACACTGCTGGTGTGTTGAATTTTTTGACATAGGGTGCTGGCAGATTACGGGCCTGCCCATACGCTGCTGCCAGGCCCCTAATCTGCCATGGGCCCCTATACCGCCTCTCGCTCATGCTGCTGCCAAGGTCAGAGTCTGACATGGGTCCCGCCTGTACGGCCTCCCATTGCTGCTGTCTCCATCGCCACACTCTGCCATGGTGCCACATTTCAGGTCTCTCTCCTCACACTGCTGGTGGTTGAATTTTTTGACATAGGGTGCTGGCAGATTACGGGCCTCCCATAGCTGCTGCGGCATGCCCCTAATTCTGCCATGGGCCCCTGTACCGGAACCGCCTCCTCATCGCAGCTGCCATGTCCACCAGTCTCCATGGCCATGTGCCACTTTTCAGGTCTCCTCACACTGCAGGTGTGTTTGAATTTTTTTGACATAGGGGTGCTGGCAGGATTACGGGCCTCCCCAATAGCTTGCTAGCCAGGCCCTAATCTGCCATGGGCCACGTACCGCCTCCTCATGCTGCAGTGCGTATTTGGGTCCCACAGTGCCCTCTCATGCCATGTGCCACTTTCAGGTCTCCTCACACTGCTGGTGTGTTGCAATTTTTTGACATAGGGTGCTGGCAGATTACGGGCCTCCCATAGCTGCTGCCAGGCCCCTAATCTGCCATGGGCCCCGTATACCGCCTCCTCATGCTGCTGCCAAGTCCAGAGTCTCTCATGGGTCCCTGTACGGCCTCCCATTGCTGCTGTCTCCATCGCCACACTCTGCCATGGGTGCCACTTTCAGGTCTCCTCACACTGCTGGTTGTGTTTGAATTTTTTTGCATAGGGTGCTGGCAGATTACGGGCCTCCCATAGCTGCTGCCAGGCCCCTAATCTGCCATGGGCCCCTATACCAGTGCCTCCTCATGCTGCTGCCAAGTCCAGAGTCTCTCATGGGTCCTGTACGGCCTCCCATTGCTGCTGTCTCCATCGCATCGCCACACTCTGCCATGTGCCACTTTCAGGTCGCCTCACTTCCTCACACTGCTGGTGTGTTCCATTTTTTGTCATAGGGTGCTGGCAGATTACGGGCCTCCAAATTAGCTGCTGCCAGGGCCCCTAATCTGCCATGGGCCCCCTATACCGCCTCCTCATGCTGCTGCCAGGTCCAGGCGAACGTAGTCACACAGGGGAGGAACTTCTCAGTGTAATGAACAGAGAAATCGACAGATGGCTGTCTCCGCGCAAACTGAAAATCGGAACCATGGTTGACCGACAGCGGAAAGAACTGGTGTCTGCTCTGCGTCAAGTAAGGTTGTGCCATGCGCCATGCATGGCTCACGTGTTCAATCTGGTTGTCAAGCGGTTCCTAAAATCCACCATCCCACTGCAAGACATCCTTAAAATGTCACGTAAACTTTGCATGCATTTCAGCCATTCCTACACCGCAAAGCACACCCTCCTTGAGCTGCAGCGGCAGAACGGAATTCCCACAGCATCGCCTGATCTGCGACGTTTTTGCAACAAGGTGGAATTCAACCCTACACATGGTAGACCGCCCTTTACGAACAGCGAAAGGCCATCACCGATTTCCTGATGTTACAAGCGGATAAAGGTACTCCCCTGTGTAACTTCGATGTCAGCCATTGGCAGCTCATGCGTGACACCTGCCGCTTGCTCAGGCCCTTTGAGGAGGCCACGCTATTCGTGAGTCGGCAGGACTATGGGATGAACGACGTCATTCCTCTGTTGCACGTCCTGGAACAAATGCTGTTAACAATGGCTGGTCAGGGTGCGGTAGACGTGGCGCACAGATCTCAACGCCACATGACCCCTGTGGGGGCAGGACAGGAAGAAGAGGAGGAGGTAGAGGAGGACATTTGTGCTCAGGAATTATTGAGTGAAATGGGTGGTTTTTTCCACTCAGCGGACAGGAGTGGAGGAGCAGGAGCTTCTGGTAGAGGAGAGGAGGAGGAGGAGACAGAGGACCCAGATGCACCGTGGCAGTATGCTGTGGAGATGGAGGCAGGGAGTCCCTCGCATTCCTTGGCACAAATGGCCCATAGCATGCTCGGTTGCTTGCGTAGCGACAGCCGAATAATAACCATCAGACAGAGGGATGACTTTTGGCTGTCCACCTTGTTGGACCCTCGCTACTGTTCAAAAATGGTGGCCTTTTTCACACCTGCTGAGAGGGAGGCCAAAATAACGTACTATAAAAACCACCTATGTAGTCAGTTGGTCTCTGCCTTTTGTGCGCCAACGTCCATCCTCAGACACTGTGGGCCCTGTGCGCTCGCGTTCCGCTGCCATGGCAGCAAAGGAGGGGTGGGTGGTAGGAGCAGTGGCAGCTCCACCAGCAGCGGCTGCCTCAGTCTGCAGTCGATGATGAGTAGCTTTCTTCACCAGCGCAGTGAAGAAACTAATAACCAGCCGCAGCAGCAGCAGCATCAGGTGGACCTGGAGCAGGACCTCAAACAACAGGCTTAGGCCTACTTGGACAGCACCCTGCCAACCGAGGTAGACAATCCCCTTGACTACTGGGCAACGAAACTTGACCTTTGGCCCCAACTAACTGAATTTGCCCTTGAAAGGCTGTCATGCCCGGCCAGTAGCGTGGCATCGGAGCGCGTGTTTAGTGCGGCAGGAGGTATTGTAACTCCGTGGAGGACACGACTGTCCACACCCAAAGTGTGGAGAGACTCACGTTTGTGAAAATGAATCAGGCGTGGATTAGTCTGGATTTCAAACCACCAGTTCCTGACACAACTGACTAAATCCGCCATGAATCATGCCCCAAACATGTGCCACTTTCAGGTCTCCTCACACACTGCTGGTGTGTTCAATTTTTTTGTCATAGGGTGCTGGCAGATTACGGGCCTCCCATTGCTGCTGCCAGGCCCCTAATCTGCCATGGGCCCCAGTACCGCCTCATCATGCTGCTGCCAGGTCCAGAGTCTCTCATGGGTCCCTGTACGGCCTCCCATTGCTGCTGTCTCCATCGCCACACTCTGCCATGTGCCACTTTCAGGTCTCCTCACACTGCTGGTGTGTTGAATTTTTTGACATAGGGTGCTGGCAGATTACGGGCCTCCCATAGCTGCTGCCAGGCCCCTAATCTGCCATGGGCCCCTATACCGCCTCCTCATGCTGCTGCCAAGTCCAGAGTCTGTCATGGGTCCCTGTACGGCCTCCCATTGCTGCTGTCTCCATCGCCACACTCTGCCATGTGCCACTTTCAGGTCTCCTCACACTGCTGGTGTGTTCCATTTTGTCATAGGGTGCTGGCAGATTACGGGCCCCCCATTGCTGCTGCCAGGCCCTTAATCTGCCATGGGCCCCCGTACCGCCTCCTCATGCTGCTGCCAGGTCCAGAGTCTGTCATGGGTCCCTGTACGGCCTCCCATTGCTGCTGTCTCCATCGCCACACTCTGCTATGTGCCACTTTCAGGTCTCTGCTGTGTGTTCCATTTTTTGTCATAGGGTGCTGGCAGATTACGGGCCTCCCATTGCTGCTGCCAGGCCCGTAATCTGCCATGGGCCCCTGTACCGCCTCTTCATGCTGCTGCCAGGTCCAGAGTGTGTCATGGGTCCCTGTACGGCCTCCCATTGCTGCTGCCAGGAGGCAGCAGGGTCGCAGCAGTGTCAGTGGAGGCAAACGGCCACGGAGTAGAGCATCAGCTCCACTGCAGCCTACCACCACGGCCAGTAGTGGTGCCGGTGTGCACGGAGGAAGTAGCAGTCAGCCAGTGAGGAGTAGCGGGGGCAAAGTTTCCTACTCGGCGGTGTGGCAATTTTTCGTCAATCCGCCCGAGGAAGTAAACGTAGCCGTATGTCGACTATGTGGCCAGAAAGTCAAGCGTGGCCAGGGGGCCCATGTTGGGACTACAGCGTTGCGTCAGCATATGCAGCGTCGCCATTCGGTGGCCTGGGAAAACCGTGATAAAGATACGGCGGTTCTGCCTGCCCCAGCCCAGGGTTCCATTTTGTCATAGGGTGCTGGCAGATTACAGGCATCCCATTGCTGCTGCCAGGCCTTAATCTGCCATGGGCCCCTGTACCGCCTCCTCATGCTGCTGCCAGGTCCAGAGTCTGTCATGGGTCCCTGTACGGCCTCCCATTTGCTGCTGTCTCCATCGCCACACTCTGCCATGTGCCACTTTCAGGTCTCCTCACACACTGCTGGTGTGTTGAATTTTTTGACATAGGGTGCTGGCAGATTACGGGCCTCCCATAGCTGCTGCCAGGCCCCTAATCTGCCATGGGCCCCTATACTGCCTCCTCATGCTGCTGCCAGGTCCACAGTCTCTCTCATGCCATGTGCCACTTTCAGGTCTCCTCACACTGCTGGTGTGTTGAATTTTTTGACATAGGGTGCTGGCAGATTACGGGCCTCCCATAGCTGCTGCCAGGCCCCTAATCTGCCATGGGCCCCTGTACCGCCTCCTCATGCTGCTGCCAGGTCCACAGTCTCTCATGCCATGTGCCACTTTCAGGTCTCCTCACACTGCTGGTGTGTTGAATTTTTTGACATAGGGTGCTGGCAGATTACGGGCCTCCCATAGCTGCTGCCAGGCCCCTAATCTGCCATGGGCCCCTATATACCGCCTCCTCATGCTGCTGCCAAGTCCAGAGTCTGTCATGGGTCCCTGTACGGCCTCCCATTGCTGCTGTCTCTCCATCGCCACACTCTGCCATGTGCCACTTTCAGGTCTCCTCACACACTGCTGGTGTGTTGAATTATTTGACATAGGGTGCTGGCAGATTACGGGCCTCCCATTGCTGCTGCCAGGCCCGTAATCTGCCATGGGCCCCCGTACCGACTCCTCATGCTGTGACGTTGCAACAAGGTGGAATTCAACCCTACATATGTTGAACCGCCTTTACGAACAGCAAAAGGCCATCACAGATTTCCTGATGTTAAAAGCGGATATAAAGGTACTCCCCTGTGTAACTTAGATGTCAGCCATTGGCAGCTCATGCGTGACACCTGCGCTTGCTCAGGCCCTTTGAGGAGGCCACGCTATTCGTGAGTCGGCAGGACTATGGGATGAACGACGTCATTCCTCTGTTGCATGTCCTGGAACAAATGCTGTTAATAATGGCTGGTCAGGGTGCGGTAGACGTGGCGCACAGATCTCAACGCCACATGACCCCTGTGGGGGCAGGACAGGAAGAAGAGGAGGAGGTAGAGGAGGACATTGGTGCTCAGGAATTATTGAGTGAAATGGGTGGGTTTTTCCACTCAGCGGACAGGAGTGGAGGAGCAGGAGCATCTGGTAGAGAGGAGGAGGAGAGGAGACAGAGGACCCAGACGCACCGTGGCAGTATGCTGTGGAGATGGAGGCAGGGAGTCCCTCGCATTCCTTGGCACAAATGGCCCATAGCATGCTCGCTTGCTTGCGTACCGACAGCTGAATAATAACCATCAGACAGAGGGATGACTTTGCTGTCCACCTTGTTGGACCCTCGCTACCGTTCCAAAAATGGTGGCCTTTTTCACACCTGCTGAGAGGGAGGCCAAAATAACGTACTATAAAAACCACCTATGTAGTCAGCTGGTCTCTGCTGTCTGCGCCAACGTCCATCCTCAGACACTGTGGGCCCTGTGCGCTCGCGTTCCGCTGCCATGGCAGCAGGGGAGGGGGGGGGTGGTAGGAGCAGTGGCAGCTCCACCAGCAGCAGCTGCCTCAGTCTGCAGTCGATGATGAGTAGCTTTCTTCACCAGCGCAATGAAGAAACTAATAACCAGCCGCAGCAGCAGCAGCAGCAGCAGCATCAGGTGGACCTGGAGCAGGACCTCAAACAACAGGCTTAGGCCTACTTGGACAGCACCCTGCCA